AATGGGTATTTCTGCCCGAGTTATGGAGAAGCTGATCTGAGAGGAATCTTCACAATTTGAGAGATGTCCTGAAATGAGAAAGTTCTAGAATTAGCTGTGAACTAATTGATCAGATGTCTACAAATATTTTTAAAGATTTGAAGAAAAGATTAAGAAATTTGTGCTAACTTAGAAAATAAGCCTGATGATGATTAGATCTTGCTTTTGAACTATTTGTTACTTTTTGGAGAATATGCAGCTCTGATTAGAAAAAAGGAGACTTGGAATGAACAAAGACAAAAAATAAGTATGGGGATTGCTTGAAATGCCCTTCTGATCGTTATAGAATCACCAGCCCTTACAATCTCTACAATTAGCTTGACTCACTAAATTTACATGTACTCCTGCCTGAGGGGTGTGGGGTCGGGGCAGGGGACAATGACACTATGGATTCTCCAATTTCCTTCTAACTTCAGAATTCAGGAATATTTTCCCATGCTCCTCCTACAACTTCATAGACGTTTAAAGTATGTTGGCCATAGGTTCATAGTTAGGTATAATCTCTTTCATAGCTTGGATTTTATTGGAGTCTTACAGAGAATTGAAGCTATCCACTGTCTAGGAGAAGTAGAAAAATAGGAGAAATGGAATTCAAGGCTTTTAAAATATAGCATTCTTTCTAGTTTTTGGAAGTACTTGAACCCCAAAACACCCTGACTCAGTTATCCTGGTACCAGTCTCTCAGCAGCATCTGAGACATCCTTTGCATTACACAGTGAGGAAGCATGAAATATTAGGAAGAAAACTATGCTGAAAACCAGGGTTTAGCAGAGTACCTCGTATCTTCTTTGCTGTTATTAGTGCTGTCAAGTGGATTCCGACTCCTAGCAACCCTGGGTACAGCACAGCAGAGCCCTGCCTGGTCTTTTTGCGCCATCCTCTCACCTTCTAGGCTATATCAGATGATGCTCTGCTGCTATTCACAGAGTTTTCATGGCCAATTTTTTTGGAAGTTGGTGATCAGGTCCTTCTTCCTGGTCTGACTTAGTCTGGAAGCTCAGCTGAAAACTCTCCACCATGGGTGACCCTGCTGGTATTTGAAATCCCGATGGCACAGCTTTCAGCATCACAGCAACATGCAGCCTCCATGGTATGATGACCAACAGACCGGTGGTGTTGTTCCCTGAGAGCCCAGGCCACACAGGTGAGACTGCAGAATCTTAACCACTAGACCACCAGGGCTGGCTCTGTGTCTTCTCTAAGATACCAAATGCATACACTCACATATGAAGAAACATGGCATCTTGGAAAAGTCTGGGCCCCTGAGGTTCTATCTCACCTCCTCTATCATGAACTCTAAGATGTTCTTGGCACATTACTTCATCTCTCAGTGTTGCACTTCCCTCTATAAGACATGGGTCTCTTACCCTCTGATTTCATGCTTATGTCTCAAGAGCTGAAATTCTAGCAGTGGAACATGGAATGACTGGCCCTTGGGCACCTAGAATTGGTCAAGCAAGGTATTTTCTGTTCAAGAATCAAACGTCCTCCCATAACTATCTGATGGCCTCCCCTGCCCTGTATGGCCTTCCCTTAACTTAGTCATCACTCCACCCAGTTCTGGAGGAGTCATCAAACAAATGATTCAAAACGTTTTCATTCAAAAATAATAATAAAACTGACAATGCCTTCCTTTCATGCCGCAACAGGAAAATCTTCATTGCCATGGAAAGAGACGGCTTGTTACCTGCCAGAATTGGCAAATAGGACCCACTGCCATGGGGGAAGTTTATCTGTGGTGCTGCAGTGGCTAGGAAAGGGCAAATATACCCTTAGAGCAACTGTTTGCTCTAATTGCCAAGAAGTCAATCTAGCCAAAACTACTTGCATTTAGCAGTTTTTGTTGATTATAGTTCTCTGAGTAAATATCAGGTGACAGAAGACAACAGGGAAGAAAACCAGCTTCAGGGCCAAAGGAGGTAAAAAAAAAAAAATCACAAAAAGAACCAACTCACCCCTCCATTCTCCCCAATACACTGGTTTCAGGCTGCTCCACCCATCTTCAGGTACCGCAGGCATTGAGTACCCTGGGTCAGAGCTCCAATTAGGGCATAAAAATCGTGTAATTTGGGAGCTTTAGGGATCATATGGTCTACCTCTTTCATTCTACTGACAAAGAAATAGACTCAGGGTCTGTTGCTTCCCAGGGACTGTAAAGCGACTTGCTGAATGTCTCAGAAACTAAGCCGGATTAGAACCCAGGTCTCCTAATCCAGCATTCTTTCTAAGCATCATTCAAGGAGATCTCCCGGCCTAATGGCCTAAATTATGGAACACAGGCTTTAGGCTAGATCCACTTGTGGAAAGGAGGGGGGCCGTGGAATGCCAACTTTTTTTTATAGGGACCTCCCAAGGAAGCCTCAGAGATATTCTGTACCCAAGGGGGACCCAGGACCTCCAGAGGCCATATTTGTTTTCTCTCGGAGGCCCAGCAGAATGTTGAAATGTGTTTTAGGGAAATTCAATGGCCCTGCTTTTGATGGCAGCCCAGAATTCCAACCCTCCAACAACAGGCTACCTGCCAGCCCTGGAATCCTGGTTTCCAACACTTTCAGACAGTTCCCTGTAGCCTTTGAGAGAGCCAGTGCCTTGAGAGGCCACAGCCATCCTAGGTGGCCCAGGAGAAGAAGCCAAGACCCCATTTCTCTTTGGCCTCCAGAACTAGCCCCTGTGCACTGATGGGGCAGGAGAGGATGAGGGTACAAGGAGAGGAAAATGGAGGAGCTCCTGTTGCCCCTTCTTGTCATTGTTACTGTTGCCTCTGGGCGATGAACACCTCAAAGTGTCAACCATCCCCTCTGTGTGGTTGGCTTCCTCTTTAGGTCTCCAGCCCAAACTTTTCTCTCAAGCTACAGCTCTGTATCTCTAGAGGTCTGCTGATGTCTCCATTTGGATGTCCTCTGTCACCTCACACTCACCAAAGCTGGAGCTGAACTCATTCTTCCCTCTGAAAGACGGACTTTGTTAAAGGTTTAAAAAAACTTCTCCATTTCTGTTAAAAAAGAAACACTACTATTCTCCCAAAAGTAACTCTCTGAGTTATTTTTTGATCCAGTCCCCCTTTCCCACTCCCACCTGGCATATCACCCGGTCCCTAAGTCTTAGCAAGTATCGCTTTGTAAAGTCTTTGTTTTAGTGCCCACGTCAGAGGCCTGGAGTGCTGGAACAAATCACTAGCCCTGGGCTCCTTCTCACCTCTACCTCCACCTTAATCCACGCTGCGTGCCCAGTGCATACGAGACAATAAATTTCTGTTGGTTAACCACCCTGTTGGTGGTATTTTGTTAGGGCAGCCCTAGCAAGTTAATACACTGCCCGGCCCTCCCTGTGCAGCTCCAGAGCACACCCCGACGTCTCACTCCCCCCTGCCTTTGCAGTGGCTGCTGGCTCTGCATGGAATGCACACCACCTCATTCCCTTTGTCTGATTTGGGAAACTCCCATTCATTCTTTAAGATTTAACTTAAGTTTCCCTTCTTCTGTGATTCTTTCACAGAACATCCCCTCCCAAGGCAAAATATTGATCTCTTCCTCCTCTGTCATAACCAGCCAGGACTCACACATTCCTCTCATAGCACACAGCACGTGGAGTGGCAATCACCTGCCGGCTCTGCCTTTGCTTTTAGACTATTCTCCTCAATCTTTGCTGCATAGTGGAGTCAGTCTGTGTGATTTTTAAAAACACCAAGGGGTCGGCCCTGTGGCGCAGCAGTTAAGTGTGCACGTTCAGCTTCTCGGCAGCTCGGGATTCGCTGGTTCGGATCCTGGGTGTGGACATGACACTGCTTGGCAAAAGCCATGCTGTGGTAGGCATCCCATGTATAAAGTAGAGGAAGATGAACATGGATGTTAGCTCAGGGCCATTCTTCCTCAGCAAAAAGAGGAGGATTGGCAGTAGTTATCTCCAAGCTAATCTTCCTATAAATAAAAAAAAAATACTGATACTCAGACCCTACCCCCAAGATTCTGATCAGGTGGTCCGTGGTGGAGCTCTGGCATCAGTACTTTTCAATTGGCCCCCAGGTGAGTCTAATGTGCTCTAGGAGGAGAGCCACTCTATCAGACAATGCTCCCATAGGATAGGGCTTCTGCCTTACTCTTTGGTCTGCTATCACCCGAACAGTGGCGAGCCTCAAGTAAGCACTTACTAAATGTTCGTTGAACTGGATGAAGGAGCCCAGGCCCTCTGTCTGTCCTCTGCTTTTCTCTCCATTTCTTCTCATTTAACATCTTCACCTCTCCTCAAAAAAACACCTGAAACAAAACCTCTGTAAGACGCCTATTTGAGGTTTATAGAATTCGACTGTCTGAAATCAGCATAGGTGGGGGGACATAAAAGTACGATAATAGGTTTTTTTTTTGGTGAGGAAGATTGGCCTAGAGCTAACATCTGTTGCCAATCTTCCTCTATTTTATATGTGGGACACCACCACAGCATGGCTTGATGAGCAGTGTGTAGGTCCGAGTCCAGGATCTGAATCCATGAACCCCAGGCCACCAAAGTGGAGCATGTGAACTTAACCACTACACCACCAGGCCAGCCCTAGTATTTTTAAATAAGGTAAAAGAAAGATGCAGAAGCAGCTCATTTGAAATATCCATTTCCCCACCTTCTAATATTTAAAACCATCTCTTTTCTCTTTCTGAACAAAGAACGTGGGAAAGTGTTCCATCAACATGACATTTCTCCTACTCCCGCTCCATGCCTTGTCCCTTGAGGGACTTCAGGAAGGAAATGCAATTCTATATTTATGCTTTCTAATGTTCTTAACCAATCATGCCTCAGGAAAAATGGAGGATGGGAAGATTTGGGACCCCCAGTTTCCCCTTCTAACACCTCCTGTAGCTCCTCTCAGATACTCAATGTCCTCACAGATACTCAATGTCCTCAAAAGTCTTTCTCCCTTTCTTCTCCCTCGGTATAAACACTAAGATGAAAATAACTCATAAAGGGCTGTTTGCTTTAATTTTTCTCGGTATAAAATTAAAGTTTATTCCTTATACAAAATTTAGATAATACAAAAAAAGCATTACAAGTAAAACTGATTGGCAATCCCACCATGAAGAATTAACAACTGTTCAGATTTTGGTCTGTTCTGTCATACATTGCACATCTACATAAGGAAAATTTTCCCATAATACATAAAATGTATAAACAAGGAAGCGTGTATGCGTGAGAGAGAGCACATTGACTGTCTCCTGGTGAGGAGATCTGTCTTCACACTGTACTGTCTTGCTTCTTTATAAACTCAAAGAACAAAAACTCAACCCCACAAGGCATTAGACTGAAGATGTTCCTGAAGATTCCAAAGAGGAGATGGAAGACAGTTCTCATCTTGCTCACCACAGCACTCACCATCATTGTCCCCACCTCAGTATGTCTCCTCTCTTTAGCCTCCCTCTCAACACCCTGCCCAACTTCATTTCCCATGGCACCAGCCTCCCCTTGTCCAGGTCCTTCTCTTGGCTTCTCCATGTTTCTTTTCTTAGGTAGAGCAATTTAGCTCACCTTTCATTCTTTCAAGCTGATATTCCCACACCTATCCCATAATTAGGTGGGAAAAGGACCCTCTGGTCCCTAGGATATACCATCTTAGAAAGAAGTAGGAGATTATTAATACAAAAAAGAGAGAAAGAAAGAGAGAGGGGAGAAAAGGAAGGAGGGAAGGAAACAAGGACGGGAGGGAGGGAGGGAGGAATCCTGGAACAAATATAAATATACGTAATTTTAGAAAACCCTTAGGTGACATCACCTACAATTTTGCACCCTTTTTCTTCAGCTCTACACTATATTAGGATAGCTATCCTTTTTTTAATTAGAAGCTACACTGAAAGTTAGGGGAACGGAATCACAGAGGGTGAACACGCAGACGGTAGCCCTCTGGCAGTGGTGGGATTTGGGGCACAGAGGACTGGCTCTTAGTCCAGGGACATTTCCTATGTGAGAGCACAGGCCTTATTTCACACGGACTATACCAGTGACGCAGGTATATGGTGTCACTTTTACTGCCAGTTATTTAAAGATGTTGGCTTCCCTTGATGAGGACTAAAGTCCTGTCCTTGAGTAAACGGGAGAGGAATCCTGAAAGACACAGTGTCCCACAGGCCCTTCTTCCGGAGTTGAGTGAGTAGACTTGCCCACACTGACACACCTAGACATGGTCGAATGACAGGTCAAACTCCACAGACACGCGGCTGTCTTGAACAAAGCCCAGATACTTCATTCTCTGCAGATTCCTAGGTCTTGTCACAGAACTGCTGGTAGGCGGCTGTTTGAATATTGGAGGTGAAGACACAGCAAAAAGTAGTCCAGGTGAATATAAAACTGAAAAAAAGAGCAAAATTATGCTCTTCGTGCACTGAACTGGCCATTAGTGAGGATTCAGTTTTAGGCTCTAGAACAGGAGTTGACAAACCACAGCCCACAGGTCAAATCCAGCCACATTTATTTGTTCAGTATTGTCCACACTTTTTCTCGCACGATGATGGCTAAATTGAATAGTCGTGACAGAGACTATATGGTTCTCTGTCGTAAAAGCCTAAAATAGTTACTACCTGATCTTGTGTAGAAAATGCTTGCTGACCTCTGACCTAGAGAAATTCATTCTAGTTCCAGGGACTCCCAAATTGAGGATTCCTAGTGTGTTTTTGCTGTAGCGGTTTTCTGGTGGAGAGGAAGCTTCATTCTCGGCGGAAGGGAGGAAGGAGAGCTGCCAGTCTTCCAGCGGTGGCCCAGCGGTGGCCCAGCGGTGGTAGGCAGGTTTGCTCAGAATCCAAGACTCTGGGCCTCTTAGGACAGAGTCTGTAAGGGGAGGAGGGAACAGGTTCCTTAGAGCCAGATTAGGAATCAACATCCTCCAGTATCACCCCACCCTCCACACACATAACCATAAAAACACTGCTTATCAACCTTCCATAGGGACCCAAGGGGGTTGAATTATCCTAGTGCTAACCAAAGAACATTTCAGAAGCGTGAGACACCAGGAGGAGGTTTTACAAGTCACAAAGCTTTCCATGAAGGATTTGTTCTTGAAAAATAATGTAGTATGGTGGTGAAATGCTTTGCCTCTGGAGCCAGATAGGCATGGACTTGAGTTTTGCTAGCTGAGAGATCTGGGGCAAGTCACTGTACCTCTTGAAACCTCAACTTTATCATCTGAAAAATAGGAAAAACAATAGTAGCCTTCTCATAGGGTTGTTATGAGAAGTAGATTAGATAAGGTATGAGAAATATTTAGCACAATGCCCAACACATTAACAGTGTTCAATACGTGTTAGCTATTAGTATTATGAACACGGTCTTTGACTGACTCATGTATTAGGAGCGTTGTCATTGTCATTTCCTAAAAAGTTTGTTTAAGCACTATTATTAATGGGGCTGGAAATTTTTAGGCATTTAATAAACCGTAGTAATAAAGATTTAGGTTGTAGATTACTTTAACTAATGGAGAATATTTAAAACTTGTTTGTGGGGCCAGTCCAGTGGCACAGCAGTTAAGTGCACACGTTCCACTTTGGCGGCCCAGGGTTCGCCAGTTCGGAACCCGGGTGTGGACCTACGTACGCACTGCTTGTCCAGCTATGCTGTGGTAGGTGTCCCACATATAAAATACAGGAAGATGGGCACAGATTTAGCTCAGGACCAATCTTCCTCAGCAAAAAGAGAAAGATTGGTGGCAGATGTTAGCTCAGGGCTAATCTTCCTCAAAAAAAAAAAATGTTCATGAAATAATGCATATCCTTCCTAAATGCAGTACACTTGGATTTTTCTCTACTATTTTTTAAAATGGTGGACATAATCCAGTCAATTAATTTTACAACCCAATCAGGGGTTGAGACCCACAGTTTGAAAAACATGCATCATGGGTCCATCAAACTGAAAGTCCTGAGGCACGATTCTCTCTCATCTCTAACGCAACCATTCTTTGCAATTTTGAGACTTATAACATCTTCCATTATTATTCATCTTACGTTTTTGTAGCTTGCATCCTTAATTATATCTTCGAAATCAAAATCAAGTTGTATGCTTTCCTAGAATCTTGCGAAATTCTGTATCATAGTGGTGGAAACAAAAAAAGCTCTCAAAAAATGTTTTCAGGTACAATTGAATTTATATTTGCAGAAAATTTAAGAAATGGATTGTTCTGCTTCCACAAGAAATTTTATAACACAACTGATAGAAGATAATCAGATGCCAAAATTATCTGTCTATTAGGGCCTACCCCAGGATATGAAAGTTTCTCAGGGAAGAGATACTGAGCAAAATATACAGGAAAAAAATATATAGCCAGTTCTACTAGTTCCTGTCTCCACCTCCCCCCATACCACGTTGCTAATGACAATTGCTCAAGGGCTGGAGGCCAATGACTTCTCATCAAGTAGTTGAAGATTTTCTGTTCTATCTTGACTCTTCTCTCTCTAACTCTACTCTTTGAAACATTCTAAATTATAGTTCCCTCCATCACTGACAGACACACAACCAATGCCTACTGTTTTTGTGTAGGTGACTTAATCAGAACTGTAAGACTGTGCAGATCCTAGGAAGAGATCCCAAGACTCCAAGGCAAACTCCAGCTCCAGGATCCATCTGCATTCCAGAGCCACACTGTGCGTTAAGCACAGTGGACTGCCCACAGTCCTGAGCCAGACGAGACCAGCTCGCAGAATTCCAATCCTGAGACCTCCTTTCCTTTCTATTTCACACATATTTTCTAACCTCAGTCCCTATAATCTATTGACCTTTGCTGCCATTGGATTTCCTAAACAAACTATACACAATCAACCAGGTTAGGGAACTACTATAGTGTTGACTCCTTTTTTTCCCTTTCTTCTTGCTTTTTTTCTTTCTCCCAATTTACTGAATTTCTTACCTTTTCTTTTCTTTTGAGGAAGATTAGCCCAGAGCTAACATCTGCCACCAATCCTGCTCTTTTTGCTGAGGAAGACTGGCCCTGAGCTAACATCTGTGCCCATCTTCCTCTACTTTATATGTAGGACACCAACCACGGCATGGCGGCATAGCTTGACAAGTGGTGCCATGTCTGCACCTGGGATCCGAACCGGCAAACCCTGGGCTGCCAAAGCGGAGCTTGCACACTTAACCGCTCCACCACCGGGCCGGCCCCCATTACCTTTTCTTCAATAAATTTTGAGGTGAAAGATATAAAAAAAATTGCTTAAGAAAAAATTATGCTCTTCTCCCTCTTAAAATTTCAGGGAGCTTGTGGAGGACTCGTCACTGCTGCTGTGTTCACAGCTGAGGATCAAAGGCAAGGTCAGGAGAACAGGCCACTTTCAAGTAGAGCTGTAATTAGAGGGAAGACAATCTGGGGTCCGGTCCTTCTTCCCTTTGTTATTTTGTAGCTGTGTGACTCTAGAAAGGTGCCTGACCCTACCTAAGCCTCAGCTTTTGTATCAGGAAAATGATGCTATTAATAGCATATGACTCACACTGGTCTTGTGAGGGATTATATAAAATAATCATGACGAGCCCTTGGCTCACTCACTGGTCCCAGGCAAGCACACAACAAGCATTGTCGTTATTATTATTATTATTATTATTATTATTATTATTATTATTGTCATAGGAGTCCTCCTCCAAAGTCAGAGCCCCTACAGGAAGAAACTTCTGGAGGTGATGGAAATGTCTATTATCTTGACTGTGGTTCCCCAGGTGTGTGCATACGTTTAAACCCATCAAACTGTGTGCCTTGAATATGTGCAGGGCTTTTTTATACATCAATTACATCTCAATAAAACTGTTTCAAAAAAAAGTTGGGTGGCTTGCATGGAAAATGTGCATGGGGCACCAATAGCATCTGTTTCCGTTAGAAACTAAACAAAGCTGTTAATAAATAGGTTTAAAAAGGATTCCTGATTAAACAGTAGAAATGGCAAAAAAGAAACAAAAAATCAAACGAACAAGCAAAAAACCCACAAAAGCCAGAGCCCATAATCCTGGATGGAAAGAGAATTCCAGCAGCCTCGCAGAGGCAAAACCGCATTTCCCGTCCCTCCAATAATTTCCCCCCAACGAACAGCCAGCCCTGTGACTGAAAGCTACGGGAAGGACCTCTAAGAAGATGTGACCCAGAGAAGGTCCCGTAATGGATCCTGAAACCCTTCACATGTGACTGGCCTGCCGCTCCAAACCAACTCCCCGCGGCCAAGGGCTCCCAGGAGTTCACCTACCCTTCCCGACAATCCCTGAAATCACAGTGTCCTGATGGATTGAGGCTGAGTGGAGGAGCATCCCTGAAGATTCCCCGCATCACTGAGGGGGAGAGGTTCCCACGACGACATGGTTATCAGGAGCAGACAATCAGAAGCAGGATGCGGTAGCTCATGTTCTGCAACATTACCCGGATTTCCCCAGACTCCACAACTTTGACCCTACGTCCTAGAACCATGAGCTGGGAGCACATGAACTTGGAACAGGAGGTCACATATGTCCCCTGCTCCCAGAGTTTCCTGCCAAGCTTCCTGGTGGCTGGGAATTCTTTGCAGGCCCCTAAGGAGGGGTGAAGGCCTGTCCCAAGTTCACTAGGCCTATTGAAAAGATAACTTTCTGGCTGGGATGCTCAAAGTAGACCGCCTATAATGAGGAGGGAGAGACCTTCAGATGTCCCTGAGGCCAGCTCTCTGCTTTTTTGAATGCCCTAAGCGGTACCTCAGCCCAGAGAGGGAATAATGAAGTAAATGGTGACCTCTGGCTACTCTCTCAAACCACAAGACTAGTCTAGGAAAAGTTTTCACAATATGGATGTTACAAACTGATTATCTAAGCCTCCATCTGAAGAAATAGAGCTGCAGACATATGTCATAACCGTCTCGTGCATTTCCCAGTCTCCAACGTATTGGCCCTGAGCCCTGGAGACCCAGGAGGCTGAGAACAGCAAAACAAGACGTTTTGCCTCATGCTGAATTCCCATCTCCTACAATTTCCTGTGAAATCTGCAGCTGTTCTCTATGCCAGGGCTTCACAGGGCGCACAGCCACATCTCTCAGCCTGGGGAGGACTCCAGGGATCCACCAGGCCGTCCACTGCCTCTTAGGAACTACACTCAAATCATAAGATAACGCCCTGTGGCTTTGTGAATTTGGCTTCCCTTAAACATCTTCCACACTCTCTCCGGGACGAGGCTTTCCTAGATAACAGGGTTGGACATACTGATACAGAGTCAGAAGGGAGGAGCTGCTTCTCAAATTTTCCCCAGCCTCCCTCCCATGTGCAGAATCTCTGATTTGCACTTAATAGGAGCATATACCATTGCCACATATTACAGAAAGCTCAAGTTTCTGGTCAATGTCTCTGGATTGGGCAAGGGCACTGTGTGATGGACAAAATCTGGTTGTATCTCAGGACTTGGGGCTTTGTGAAATCTAAGGAATGAAGGAGGAGAAGATGAGTGAAAGGTGACTTTGTGGTTTTGAGCCTGGATGACTGAGGTGTGGTCTCTGACAGAATAAGCAAGTCAAGAAGTCAAAGAATGTTGAGGGCGTGGGGATGACAAGAGAGCAGATTCATGGATTCCTTCAGCATGGAGTCATTTTAGAGGGCATTTAGACCTTCCTTCCGAATCCAGGGAGGATGGATCTCATTAGATAAATGAAACTATCTCTGAAGACTTGAGGTGGGGGAGGTTTTTCTGCTCTAGAAGCTATTATTTGTCACAGGACAGAGCTAGAAGAATAGGAAGGAGATACTATAAGATAACAGTAAAAATTACTTGGTATTTTTACATATAATAAAACAACAATCTTTTTCCATTTCCAGTATAATCTCCAAGAGAAAGAGAAATTTTAGGGGAGATTATAAGGGGGAACTAATGATGCTCCCCTCCTGAAGTCAGCCCTGAGTTCTCAACTGATCTCAGTATTTGAGAGTAGTTCTCGAATGTCCCAAAAGCCTTCTATTTTTTAGCAGAATAACCCCAGTTCCATCAAGAGTTTCTCATACATGATTGTTTCCCAAACCTTTAACACTCACTTTCCTCTGAATATATTTTAGTTTGTCAATGTGCCTCTGAAAATGTACGATCTAGAATTTTAGAAAAGTCTCTAAATGCAGTAAGATCTAAAAAAAATGAACAGACTCATCACCCACCCTGTGCTGGCCACATTTTCCGCTTAATACAAACTAATGCCACATTGGACTTTTGGCAGCAATGTGGCAGTCACAACTGACTTGTATTGCCTTTTGGTCAGTTAATTTCAGTTTGTCTTTTTCAAAAAAATTACTTTTTTATACTTATTTAGCTGTTTGGGTTGTGTTGTTTTGTTTTTTTCTAACTAAAGGCAAAAATTTACCCCTGTTAAATTATATTACATAGGTTTTAGATGCCTGCCAATCTAACTTACTGAGACCACTTTGAATCTGGATTCTGACTTCTCATTAAGCATCCTTCCAAGCTTTATGTCATTGCCAAATTAATAATCAGGCCACTTAAGATTTCTCTCAAATGTTTGATGACAATATTGAATTGAGGGAAATGGGGAGCCAGATCACTGTGGCAGAGGACAGCATTTTCCTCCTTCGTGACTGGGTTCTTCAGGATCATATTGTTCATGTATGCTTCATTTACTTAGAAAATAAGCCATTATATTATAAATATAATTGAAAACTTTATAAACTATGTTCACAAGGCCTGTTTAATGAACTTCATTGAATTGAAGAAATATGTAAGTAGCTATTTCATTATAAGAAAAAAATAAGCCTATGTTATTAAATTGGAATACAAAAATAATAAAGCATTCAACTGTAGGATCCCATTTGGGTTCATGACATAATAACTTTCTAGCCCTAGTCAAAAATTAAGGCTAAAGGGAGAGTTGAGAACCCATAAAATGGATGTTGACAATGGGCTGGGAGAGGTCACTACTCAAACCTCAGCAATGTGGCGACATCACAATTACTTAATGACATTCTTGGATATTTTATGGTTACAAAGGCACATGAATCACTCTGGGGCTTGACATGAATAGAGTCATAAAAAGAGGCCATTTAAAATACCCTTTCCCTCTTAAAATGATGTTTCCCTTTGAACATAAGCTAAGGAAATGGCATAACTGACGGGCATATTTTGGCATGATTATAAACAGGCCAGAGGGATATTATTGCTATTCACTTAATAAATCTTTGTAAGTGAATTGAGTTTCTTTCCAGCTATGGATTCCTGAAGGATAATCACGGTTCCTCAGTGAAACAATCTCCAGCCAAACCCACACTCTTATCTCTTCGAGTCTCCCTAGAAGAAACGGGTTTGTTTGCAATCACAAGGTTTGGCTGCTGAGACTGGTGTGTGTTCCAGCCCTGCTATGGCCTCCCCAGGCCAGCGGGTTTATGAGAATCTCCTCTCACTGCCAGGGTGTCAGAGGCCAGCTGCCCTGAGAAGATCCATGAGAACGTGAGAACGTTAGAAACAGGCACAAAGAGCATAGGGCTGGGTGGGGAAGCCATTGTGAGTTAATGACTCTTCTCCTTTCTTGGGTCCGCCTGGCCTGAGTGTGGCAGGAATGTGTCAGATTCATGCACAGAAACCTCACACTAGGGTGACCAGCCATTCCACTTTTCCAGGAACTGAGAGGTTGCCCAGGTCATGGGACTTTCAATACTAAAACTGGGGAAGTCCCAGGCAAACAAGGATGAGTCGGTCACTCTACCTCATACACACAGCTGGACAGCAGGATTATAGGGGCTGATCCACTTCACCAAATCCATTCTCTTAATTCCCCTGGGAATCCCAACAATTACAGAAAAAAAGAAAAGACCTGTTCCTAATATTTGTCAAAGCACAAGATTTTGAATTCAGCCCCTTCCAATGGAGTCCTGAGGGTATGCAAGGTTGGTGGTTTATTATGGGTTATTATCCAAGCAGTCATGTAACACAGAGGGTGGGAACTAGACTCTGGCCCCGGACTGCCTGAATCCAAATGCCATGTGACCTGGAAAATTTTTCTTAACCTGTCTGTCTAGTCTTCTCATGTATAAAATGGGAATGAGAAGAGGTCCTACCTCATACATTTGTGAGAATTAAGTGATTTATAACAGAAAGTGCTTAGTATAGGACTGATCGTGTGGTACACAAACATCTGCTATCATTTCTATCTTTGGCAATCCAGCAGATCTTTGCTTGATCTTTGTTTCTGACATTCTCCATATGATCCTTCTTTCTCAGCCAAGCACTGTGCAGGGTGCTAGGAACACGCTGATTCCGGTTTTGAAGCAATCCACAGCCTAGTAAGCCAGATACACAAACCAGCGATTGCACTACAGTGAAGTAAGAGGGCTATTAGGAGGTAAGTTACAAATGTTACGGGACACATTAGGAGGTGGCATACCTGTCTTCAGAGTTGAGGAAGTGACGTCCAGATTGAGATCTGAAGGAAAAGAAGGAATTGGCCAGATGAAGATGGGCAGGTGAGTTGTGAGAGCATTTCAGGCAGAGGGAAGAGACAGCATGCTCCATTGCTGTAAAGTTCGGGAAATTTGTTGTTAAACCTTAAATTCCATGCTCTGTGAGCTCCACTGATAGACTTCAGGGTGTGGCAGAAACTAAGTATTGTCTCTTGTTCTCCCTTCTTCCTTTTAGGAATAGGACTCTGATCTCCTCTGGGTTTTAGTGGAGCAGACAGCCCCACAGATTCACTCGAACCTAAGCATGGCCTTGTAGCTAAGTTTTGGCCAATGTGGCAACTTCCAGAATATGTTTTTTAAAAAGGAATTTGCTTGCCCTCCACTCCCTCTCTTGCCTTCCTGTGGGCTGGAATACTTGGGTGTGGAGTGAGCCAGTTTTGACCACACAGATGAACACAACATCCTTGGAGATGGAAGACCAACGTGAAGGAAGGAGTCTGCATCTTCAAATGGCCTGGTGGAGAAGACGCCTTGCCCCCCTGCTCCTGGACTAGTTCATAAAGTGAAACAAACAAACTCTTCTTCCTTTTTTAAGCTACAACATTTTTGGGTCTTTTTGTTATAGCAGCTTATTGTATACCCTAACAAAACAAAAGACAAAGGGAGAAGAAGGAGAATGTTGGAAGGGAAAGGGAACAAGAGAATAGAAAAGATGAAGGAAGACGTGTGAAAGCTGGGGGTGAAGGATAGGACTGAGAAGAAAACGAAAAGCTCTTTAAGTTTTCCAGGGCTTAAGTGACTGAGGGTAGCACTATTTCCAAATAAGCAAATCTAGTGATTGAGATCAGTGAAGGCCACAGGCAAGAGCAAAAGAGCATATTAGTGAGCCCGCCGTGGGGCTGGTCTCCATCCTCACTGGCAGAACTGCCTCCTCTTCTCCAGTGCTGAAGGGAAACAATGATGAGCACACTATCTTTTGTTGGTACTTACTCTAGGCTGAATACTTTATGTAGATTCCCCCCCATTTAACACTACAATGGCCCTAAGGATAAGTGCCATTATCATCCTCATCTTACATTTTAGGACTAAGAAGTTAAACAATTTATCCAAGGTCACGCAGGTAGCAAGTGACCAAGATTGGATTCAAATCCTGTTTGTTTCACTGCTACATGACACTTCATAGTAGATTGGAGGATTCAGGGGAACCCCTGAAAGAGTACTGAGAATACTCTCAGTTTCAAAAGAAAGTTTCAAAAGGAAGTACAAGATTAATCAAAATGGGGTAAATTCTCAGCCACATTACAAAGAACACAGCAGAAATACACTTTGTACCAGGTGACCCACTCTACCACCCAGAGCTGATGGGCTCTGAGGAGGCATCTGACCCAAGGGCAGCTGATCTGTAGTGTTGCCAGTGAATACGCCATGACCGGCACAAAAATATGACCAACTAGAGTTCTTCTCTTATAAATTTGACCTTAACAACATTAAGAGAATGTGCAGTTATCTATAGGAGCTCAAGCTGAAATGACTTAATATTGAAAGGGAGGCTAGAGAAGGCATGAGTAAGCTTGCAGTGGAGGGAGCAGAGAGTACAAGAAAGGAGGGAAAAGAATGGAGGTGGTAGGGTGTCATGGGAAAGAGGATATGTAGTCCGTGAAAGTGAGCCAGAGAGAACTGCACAGGTCAAGGTCAGGCTATTTATATCCATAAAATAAAGCCATCTTTTCTGAGATAGCCTGAGCAAGTCTACTCAAGGAACCACAAGAGATGAAAGAGAAAAAGAGAGAGAAGGACATTCTTTTCCTAGGACAATGGTTCTCAAAATGTGTTCTAGGAACCCTTGGGGACCCCTAAGACCTTTTCAGGATGTCTTTGAGGTCAAAACTATTTGAAGAAGCAGCAGGAGAAGATATATTTTCCCTTTTCACTCTCATTCTTTCACATTTGTACACAGTATGAAAAATTAATTGATATAATTCGAAATTTCACATTGCAACTAATCTTTAAGAATCGAACAACTGTCAAATTTTGGTGTATTATTTAAAAATATCCATAATTTCCTGAAAGTCTATACTTCTCCCTTTTTAGTTGGAAAAGTTTGTGTGACAAGCTAGATTTTCAACCAAAACGATACATCACAGTTGACTGAATGAAGAAGCACATAAAAGAATCCAACTATCTACTAAAAAGCCAGATATTAAAGAGGCTTGCAAAAATGTAAACAATAACACTCTTCTCACTAATTTTCTTTGTTTTGGAAAATATAGCTATTTTTCATAAAACGATGTGTTGCTATCAAGAAATAGGTTTTTATTGTTTTGAACTGAATTAACAAATAAATATTTTTAAATGTTCTCAGCTTTAATACCCAATCAGGTACATATGATAGAAACAACCCAGATAAACAAAAGCTCTTTGAGTTCCTCAATAATTTTTTAAGAGTGAACAGGGATGCTGAAACTGAAAAGTTTGAAAACGGCCGCTCTAGTGTGTTTTTTTTTTTTTTCAAAGATTGGCACCTGAGCTAACAACTGTTGCCAATCTTTTTATTTTTTCTGCTCTATCTCCCCAAATCCCCCCAGTACACAGTTGTATATCTTAGTTGCAGGCCATTCTAGTTGTGGAATGTGGGACACCGCCTCAACGTGGCCTGATGAGCAGTGCCACGTCCACACCCTGGATCCAAACCTGTGAAACCCTGGGCCACTGCAACGGAGCAGAACTTAAGCACTTGGCCACAGGGCCGGCCCTCTAGTGTGTTTTAATCCCCCTTCATCATTTTGCTTTTTACCTGTCTGCGTCACACACTGGCCACAAAACACTGGGTCGCTGCTTTTCCACCATTCTCCTCCACTCCACTCTCAGGTACATTAAGGACGTTAGGAAGAAAAAGTGAGTCTACACGCC